CGAATTAGTGGTAGAAATCATCTATGACTTGAGAAATGTGGAATCTCTCATTGATGAGCTTTTATTAATGGTTTCAGGAAAATCCATCAAGTACTAAGATGCTATGTCAGATATCGAATCTGATAAATGACTTAGAGTCATGAACATGAGATGTAATCCATTTATGAGAATCAAGTATGGGTTTGATTAAAATTTCTCCCTATAGCAAGGCTAGAAGGAGTAAATAATTAATCTAGAAAGAATAAATTACATGGATAACCACATACATTTAAAGCAAGACTTGTAGTAAAAGGATTTTTTCATACTCATGTCATTGACTATGGTCCTCAATATACTTATGACATTGAATGTGATTAAACCTTTTTCACAAGTTGTTATGATCAGATCAACAAGGATATTATTTACTATAAATTCATATTCTTAATATGATATATAGTAAATAGATTTCAAGAAAACCGCTTTTTCTAATAGACATCTACTAGAAGATATCTATATAGATTAGCCTGGAGGTTTACTTAGTCCATCTTATCCTAACAAAATGTGTAGAGCTTGAGATCCACTTGTGGATATAAAGCAAACATCTAAGTGTTATAATCAGCATTTTGTAAAACCACAAGGTATGTTTTTATATCAAATTGAATAGAACATGTGTGTTTACTAAGAACTAGTGGGATCATAGTGAAATCCCTAATCTTGTATCAGTGAGACATACTTAATCATTTGCAATCACATTCTGACTAAGCAAGGTCGTTTTCACCTTTACTCGGAAAGTGTTTCTAAAATAAAAGACTTAGGAAGGAGAAGACACATTCTTGGAATGTGAAATCTATGAAAGATAGATAAAATGAATGTTAAAAGTTTCATGTCCTTATATATGTATTGGCAATACCTTGAAAGGGATCAAGGCACAAGATTCTTTTGGAGAATTCTTGGCATTATCATATGGAATCATTTTGAGCTAGCCTCAGAAGTACCTAGTTCATAGGTTTGAACTAGATGAAATGATTTATATTCCATTTTCTTGGAAATGAATTCATCATGTATTCCATATTATGCATAGGACCTGGTATATGATCATGCTATGAGCATATCATAAGATACCAATTGAATACATGGTTAAGTCACTATATGACTATGAAACATTCTGAGAGTACTTAATAAGAACTAAGAGAATGTATATGAGATAATTAGTTCAGAAAGGATATCTATGTAAAAGAGCTACACAAGATGTTGATTCTAAACAGATATAGATAATTATGAATTATAATTGGATTTTGACTTCATTAGGGAATAAAGAGTATGTTTTGTTGGAATGATGTCGAAGCAAAACATAATGACACAATATACTACACAATAAGAATACACTACTTTAGAAGTTGAATTCAAATATGATTGGATGAATGAGATCATTGAAAAACTATGTTGATCTCTGCCATTCAAGGATCACATAGAAATCTTTGTGACTTCGAGAGTATACTTAATCAAGCTAAGAGACTCTATGTCATGAAAGAACACCAATCATATTCTCAAAGAAATTTAACTATACTTAGAGTAAAGTTAAGTATGGAGATGATAGTATTCAAAGAATTCACACAAAATAAATTTTGTCAGATCGATTGATAAAGTCATTCTTTTGAGCTAAATATGAATGGTCACACTTCAGCTATAGAATTTATTATTCTAGAAATAGGTTTTTGATTTGGATTTAGTATTTGGATATTGGAACATTATAACAACAACTATTAGATAATGTTATGATATATTGGGATATAGTCATCATATTAAGACTTGGTGTGTTCTATATTAATATGTTTAATCCATGAATCATGTTATTATTCTAAAAGTTCATAGTCGGTTATAGTTGTGAGAGCAATTATAAAGTAATACTAATATGAATTGGATTGGTTGACTCTCACTAGATGAAATTAACCAAGTGGTTGTAACCAAGTTTCATAGGTACTTTTCAGAGTACTAGTATTTAACTGACCCACATCAAGATCATCTCATGGATCGCTATGATGAATGATACTTGATTAAAAGGTACTATCTTTGTATCCTTAATACCTGAGATACATAGTGGGACTTAAGTGTAGGGAGTACTATGCTTTGATATGGTCAAATGTCGTTCCTTAACCGGGCAATTATAAAAGCCATTTTCAAGTATAGTGTGAACTATACAAGAGACTTATGTAGTCAAGATGGGATTTGTTCCTCTTATGTGTTGAGAGTTAGACATCTAAGGCGCCTTACCAAAAGTTGAACAACTAATGAGATTGATCGCGATCCGTATCTCATGTTCAACATGATGTCTGTAGCAAAGGGATAACTGATAAACTTACCTTATACACCAATTGTAGCTTTGAGCTTTTTGGGAATTGGGCGTTGATAGAATGGTACAAAGTCATATATTGTTGGGGGCAGTGAAATGTTTCTAGATATTCACCACTATTTATATCAGTCTAATATGAATCCCGCGCAAGTGGGAGATAGAAAGATCTAGTATGCTCAAGAATCATATTAAAGTGATATTTCTAATTAACATATGATACTAATGGGTCACACTAACAACAACTTGATATAATTGATTATTTATTAGAAATTAATTTTAATAAATATTCAATAAACTCTTATAATTAAATTTGGAATTATTTATTTCTAGGAAATAATTGATTTTCATTAGCAAGTAACATAATATATCATATTGTATGATTTATTAAGTCATGTACAACATTTTGGACCATAAGAACTTTTTGTATTTTACCAAAAAGTTAAGATTTATAATTTACAAACTTGGTTTATAAAATATAAAACGTTTGTCTTCCTTTTATGAAGTGTGGCTGAAAATAGAGAGAAAGAAAGAGGGTATGGACTTTTGATTAGTTTAATCAAAATTAAAGGGGTTCTTTCAAGCATGGGGGACACCATGTCTTAGGGGCATGGGTTGTATTAAAGGCTTAAGACCATTTGTGTAATAGATATACTTTATGAGGCTTGAATTTGGCTAGCTCATCACACTTTCTAAACCCGTAACATGTATATGGGAAGGATTTTCTCTTTTCCGTTCATCTTTTCTTGAAGAATACTGGCTTTTGCATGCCCTCTTTATGTTCATATTGGTTATGAACTTAAAGCTCAAGGGTTTAAGAGTTTATGGACTTGAATCTACATCAAGTTGAGTCATTGTTGGTGTCTCAAAGGTTTCAAATTCTTCATAAACTTCCAAGCCTACCAAGAGGATCCAAAGAACAACAAGGGTTGTTATTTCTTCATCCTTTCTATGTTTGGTATTTTAATCTTTCTATAACTTGTAAGGAGATCCTTGGTGGGTATAAAATGTTATGTTATGTTTGAAGTTTTAAGTCTTCCGTTTGCCATATTTTCTAGTTTATGAAATAATTTTTGAACTAAAACCCAATAATATTTTTGTCATGCTTATGTTTCTTTATTGACGATGACATCCGAAGTTATCAATAAAATGCATTTCTTCGAAAATGCTTGATAATAATATTATCACATTATTGGGAACAAATTCCGCATTATAATTCTTTAAAAAGGACACTCTGAAATGAAATAAGCATAATTAAATCGGTCTTTTTCTGGCCGTGAAATTGGGGATGTCATACCTAGGCTACGAATAAACATTTTCTCCAGTTGCGAGGCTTGAATATGTTCGCATTTTTCTGGTGTATGTTGCTCACAAAAACTTTGAAGTATTTAAAATGGATGTGAAATGTGCATTCTTAAATGCTAAACTTGAAGAAACAATTTATGTTGAGTAACCTCCATGTTTTGTGAATGAAAAGTATCCAGAGAATTGCTACATATTAGAGAAATTTGTTTATGGTCTTAAGCAAGCCCATCGTGCGTTGTATGAAACTCTAAATCGTTTTCTTAAACAGTCAAAATTCAAAAAAGGTTCAGTTGACCCTACTTTCTTTCGCAAAAAATTTGGTGGTCACTTGATGATTGTCAAAATTTATGTTGATGATATTATTTTCAGTTCAAAAGATCAAAATTTGACAGCTGGTTTTCAAAACTTAATGGAAACTAAATTTGAGATGAGCTCAATGGGTCCAATTAATTTTTTCCTTGGTTTGAACATGAGACAGAGTAAGGAGGGGATATTAATCATTCAAGAAGATTTTATGAAGACATTACTTACAAAGTTTGGCATGAATGGGGAAACAAAAGTGAAAACCCCAATGGCAGTCGGACGAAAGCTAACACCTTCGCTTGATAAACCAGCAGCCGATCTTACTTTATATCGACAAATGAGTGGGTCATTACTATATTTAACATCTAGTACACCCGACATAATATTTGATGTTAGTTATTGTACAAGGCTTCAAGCTAATCCACGATAACCTCATATAACGGCGGTGAAGAATATCTTTTGATATCTTCGCCACTACTACAAAAAATACCCTTTAATGACACGCACTGCGTGTCGTAAAAGACATAGATGCCACACAAATGCGTGTCAAGGAAGGCCCTGTCATAAAGGAATACGACACGCATTTGCGTATCGTAAACATACGACACACATTTACGACGCACCTTTACGACACACAATGTGTTTCATTGAAGCCCCTGTCATAAAGGAAGACGACACACATTTGTGTGTCGTAACCTTACAGCACACATTTACAACTCGCATTGTGTATCATTAAATCCCATGTCATAAATGAAGATGATATGCATCTGCGTGTCATAAATTTCGGCAACCATTTACGATACACGTTTACGACGTGCATTTACGATATGCATTTAAAACTTGCAATTATGCATAATACATAAACAAATATATACCAAAACATTCAATTTCATCTAAATGTCAAACAAGTTAACAAAAACTTTGTCCAACACAACATGTCAAAAGAGGATGCTACCTAAAATTTCACAAAGCCAACAAAAAACATTGTACACCACATCTCAAAACACGATGTACCTAACATTTCACTGTTAACAAAAATATTATTTGTGGATAAAAAATATCACCGTTAAATGAAGCATGTAACAAACTCTGTCCATTCTTCACGGATTTCATCGAGATCATCATTTGTGTAGTGAACTTTGCCACCCCCGACCTGAGAAGAAAATTGCATATGATGTTTTAATTATAAAAAAATGGTCATTTTATAATAGTGAGTAGTATGCTATACTCAACAAATAAACATAAAATGTAAATTCTCCTTTCAAATAAATGAAATTACATTGTTGTTTTTGCATATAACCTAATATTTCAATTATAATTGTGAGAGTAGGATGCTATATTAAACAAATAACCATAAAATGGTCCTTTTTTCAATTCCTTTTTTTATTAAATTACAGTAGTGAAAGTAGAATGCAATCTCCTTACATTGTCTTTGACCAACACTTCAATTCCTACCTCAAGTATCTCCTTCATGAACTTCAACATTTAGTAGCCACATTCGGTACCTCCATGCTGAACTGGACACTACAGAATTACATATAAATGATCATTGCAACACTGATCCAAATAATAAAGTTAAAGTTGTAATTTCAATAAGGAATTAAGTGATGACTGTTACATTGACCCATTTTAGTTTACCCTCTTGTTGCATCCACTTTGTGTAGCGTATACAACCATTTCCCTATAAAAACATTAATAAATAGGTATTTATTGTATTCACATCAAATGTTTTGATAATTTATATTAATTACGAATCAACAATTTGTTTCAACTACATAATGAAATTGCTAGAACTCAGGTAATCAAGATAATAGAAGTACCCAATTTCATGTATAGTACAGCCAACACCCAATGTCTTCTTCAAAAACCACAAACCAAATTAAGTTAAATAACATAATTGCAATCATTTTCAAAATAAAAATGTATTTATTATATTCAACATCAAATGGAAAAATCAAACTGGGGATTGTAGGGGAATAGGATGATGTCATTATCCTTTCTTGTAGACAACCGATCTACAACACTTCTACTTGCATCATCAATATTCTTAGATTTCCCTTTACGATTACTGGGCGAGATTATAGTCGGGTTCATGAAACAAATTCCATGATTTCTTTTTTGCGGGCCATACTTGATTTTGTTAAACAAGACCATGTTAACATACAAACACTAAATTGATTAAACAATTTTTTTTAAGAACAGTTATTTAAATTAAATTTAAGCACTTACATCATATAAGACACAATGACAGCACTGTCCAGCTCATCCAAAAAGTGCTTCAAAATCATTCCAATTTAAGTACTTGTAACTTTCATACCCAAAAAGATTGTTGTGACACTGCACTTTTATAGAATCAACCTTTAAAACTTGTCCATCATCCATTTTTGCAGTCATTTTCAAAATACCACTTTTATCGATTCTTATCCTTGTCTTCATATGTGCTCTGGTCCACCGTCTATGCATGGTCTTATTTTGTTTTTGCATTTCTTTTCCATTCTTTTTACTCTTATTTTCTGTTCCCTTCTCTTTTTCCTGACCAACCATATTTCCTGTCTCCTTTCTCTCTTATTACTCCCTATTTCTTTTTTACATGTGTTGCATGTTTTTTCACAGGTGTGTCATGTTTTTTTCACAGGTGTTGCATGTTTTTTCATTGGTTTCTCCACTACTTTTCCCTATAAAATATATAAATAAAACATAATGAAAAAGGAAGAAGGAAACAGAAGCATGTTTGTTGCATGTGGTGTGATGTGAAGCAAGAGGCAGAAGCAGCAGCATAATGAAACATAATAACTGGAAAATTTGTTCTGGTATGGATTCATTAAGGTTGAAAATATGTTAAATACTTTGAAAATATTATGGTTACTGAAAAAGAGAAACATAATGAAACATAATAGATTGAAGATCTGTTAAATACTTCGAAAATTTTCTGGTTGCTGAAAAAGAGAAACAAAATGAAATAGGATACTTTGAAAATTTGTTAAATACTTTGAAACAGAATGAGAAACATTGTGAGGTTGAAAATATGTCAATTACTTTGAAAATCTATATTCACATCTACTTTAACCTTTTGTTATCCAATCTTTATCATTGTGAGGAAAAGGAGCAACGAAATGAAATAAGCATTAAATCTATGTAAATAGTATTACCAGGTCAAAGCATCGAATAACTAAGTGTTTCGGCTAACTTAGTATGTGCCTAAGTGCATCTTTGACCTTCACAATGAACCCCTCTTCAAGTGGAATAGGTAGTAAAGCTTATCCCTGTAAACTTGTTTCCATCATAACTTGAATGTTTTCATCTATTACATAAAGGTAAAAAGTAATTACGATCAAATTTTCTAAAAAAATGAAAATATATAAAGTAGTAATAATGCTAATATATTTTTTCATAATACCCGAGACACTATACTTCGTTATGGTTCCTTTAGCGACTATATTTGTGGCAAAGTCAACCACAAGAAGACATGAGTCATCCTACAAATATAGCATGTTAGTTTGTAGCCATGACTTACAATGAATTCTTACTTTCAAAATATACTTACAAGTGATTGTTGAAGTGGTTCGCTTTCAAAATCTTCAATATTGCCCCATATTTGGCAACTTGCGCCTTCAGAAACATTACATACACCTCTTTTTAGTTTCTCCAAGTCATCTTCAGTTTTGTTGATTCGTTTATTCACCCTCTCGTTCTTAACCTCCAAGTAATGCTTAACATTCTTGGGTAAATAAAAGTATTGATGTGGCATTATTAATTTACCAATCTCGCGTACACGCACATGTTGTTCCTCAGTACCCAAGGCCTCTTTAAGCACATCATGTGTTCCATATGTAACCTCTCCAAACTTCCCAAATTCTGCAGCTCATCCCGTAAAAAAATAGGACAGATGCTATAAAAAACTGGGACAAATTGTGTGTGAATCTGTGGACAAATTCATATTTTTATTTTATGTTTGGCATTCAACGAAACTTAAAATTCTATCAACAATAATCTTCACATCTGAATCATATCCTCTTATTTTCAATTCTCTTTCTTTTTTCCACAACATTGTCCTATCAATTTCCTCTTCCGTCATGCTAGTTTCTTGCATCTAAATTATCAAGAATAACAAAAGTCAATTAGCATAAATATATACAAGTAAACTATTCAATAATTAGTGGGATTCATACAATGTCATTAATGAGTCCGGTATATCCTTTTCTACTCAAACGATGATCGTATTTATAATGTGCACGAACATTTTTAGCTTTCTTACCTTTTCCTGCATTAGAAACATTAAAATTGTCATGCATGTTTCTAAAACGTAATTAGCAGTGAATAAATGCAGATACGAAAAGTTTAACGAGCCTCCCATTTTTTTTAACTGTTTGGAATACAAAAATTTTCCAGTCTTCTTTCATCAAAAACGGATAATCTTTCGTACGTGTGAGTAGATTTGCTGAGGGATCTTTACTTTGTTTTCTAATGAACTTGGCATATAGATAATGTTTGAAGTTTCTCCACTTCGTCCCGATCGATTGGAGAGTGTGCTTCCGACTCTTTGGGTTAACTACAAATTTTGCCTGAAACATAAAACATAAACAATATTATTTCAACAAATAAAAAAAAGATAATTGGAGGTTAAGATCTGATGTTAGACTTACCAAAACATATTGCCATAACTCATCCTTTGTTTCGACACTAACTTCCAACGAAGAGGCATAAGTTATAGGCACCGTTGTTCTTGAAATTAAACCCTCAAAAGTAGATAGTTTTGTCGCTTCATTTCCAACTGGGACACCTTTTTATTGTAAGTTATTACAAGTTTCGCTTTATTAGCTTTTGATTTTATTGTCTGACCTCTTTTTTGGAGTCCTCATCATGATCAGAAGCAGAATCCGATTCCATGTCACAAAAAAACAACTTGTTTCAACAAGATTCAAATAAAATGGTTAGTTACAACATGGAAAAAATGAAGTACATTGTTATTTATTTCAGTTGGTAAAAAACTAATCACATTCAAGATCTGAAATAAAAACATACCAAAAACTTTATTATTCTCCAGAAAATATTTAAACTAATAAGCCCTCACCATCCGGGCGCGTACACAAAAAATCGTCGTCAAGGTCTAATAAAGAGGAGACTTGTGTTAAATCAATAGTAGCATCAAATTCCAACATATCATCATTTTCATCATCAGCTCCATTCTTGTACATCTTATGTGGTGTGAAGCCAACAACAGACAAATTCTCATTTTGTTGATCTTGAACATAAAAAACTTGTTTGGCTTGACTAGCTAATATGAAGCGTTGAGACTGCTGACCATGCCTATCAAAGTTAACTATTTAGAATCCTAAACTTCTTTTTTTACTCCACTATTATCAACCCAATCACACATGAATACAAGAATAGTAAATATGCGATAATCAAGATCCCATATCTCCTTTATACGACTGAAGTAAGTAACATCACAATATACAAGATTAGAGTTTTTTGCACTAGAAATCTACATAGTATGTGCAACTAAAGATACTCTACTGCATTGAGTTGTTCAAAATTCATCTCGAGACGTTGTATGAAAATGATACTCATTTATGGAAAAACCACTATATTTACTAACAACAAAACTAGGCCCTTTGGCCAGCCAACAAACATCGTCACAAATAACTTCCCTTTTAGCCAAATGTTTTTAAACCTATTAGAAAAATATCTAATTAATGCAATTCAAACAAAATAATTAAAAATATTAAAATTCTAACAAAATTATTATAAAAATAAACCTCTTTCTTAAAGCAACTACTAAATGTCCGACTGTGTTGGCTCTGCAACCATGTACTCTTTCGAGAGGCACGGGGGTTGAGATCCTTCAATTCCAACATATGTTGCATGAATCGTATTAAAAGTTAGAAGAAATTTTATATAATAGATAGAGGACAAATAATATAAAGTTTCTTTTAATTCTTACTCTATATATGGCTCCACAACAGCAGTGTTTCGTAATACATAAAGATGAGCTTGATCAAGTAACTTAGCATCTACAACATTGATTGTAGCTTGCAATAAAGGATTATCGGTGCGAATTATTTCATCAACACGTTCATGAGAATTTCCAATTGGTTTCATTTTTTTAAGTAGTCTAAACAAAATTCTAAGGCTTCTTCTGCCACATAACACTCTGCAATGCAACCCTCGAGTCGGTGATGATTTCTTACATACCCTTTGATTGTTTTCATGTATCTCTCAAATGGATACATCCACCTAAAATGAACCGGGCCACACAACCTCACCTCTATAACTAAATTCACCATCAAGTGAATCATGACATCAGAAAATGAATGAGGAAAGTACTTCTCTAACAAACATAAGTTTAATACGATGTCACTTTGAAGCTTGCCTAGCTTAGTAACATCAACAACTTTACTACACAACTCGTTAAAAAATGCCATAACCTTAGGATTATTCTCCACACCTTCATGTCTAACACCCCTTTGATTGCGAAAGGGAGAAGTTGTTGCATTAGTACATGACAATCATTAGATATCAAACAATTCATCTTTTAAGAATCATCCGACACAAGATTCTTGAAATTGGAGCAATATCCATGAGGCACTTTTATGTTAGACAGGGTATCATAAAATTGTTGTTTCTATGAGGTATTCAATGTGTAGCATGTAGGCGGAATCCAATGTCGATTCCCTTTTGGACGACTTTGTAATTCAGGGTTAATGCCCAACGCTTCAAGATCGTGTCGTGCTTTTAATCCATCCTTCGTCTTGTGAGGAAAATTCAACATTGTCCCATAAAGACTCTTGGACACATTTTTTCTATGTGCATGAGATCTAACTAACGAAAAACATGAAACATCTTCCAATATTCAAGTTCAAAAAAATCAACTTTATATGCCAAAATTTAGCTCTCTCATTGATACTTTCGTTTTTCTTCTTTGACATTTCCTTCTTTGGCATTTCCTTCTTTGACGCTCCTTTCTTTGACTTTATCTTCTTTAACTTTATCTTCTTTAATCCTATCTTCTTTGACTTTATCTTCTTTGACTTTATCTTCTTTAATCCTATCTTGTTTGACTTTCTCTTCTTACCCCATGTATTCTCAAATCCTGCCAGATAGTCATAAATATATTCACCTGATGAGGGTTATTGAAGAAAATCGTTCTCCAGTTGATTGTTGAAATGTTTTTTTCTTTTATGAAAAGTATGTTCAAGTGGGAGGAATCTTCTATGCCCAAGGAAGCATACTTTTTTGGACTTTGGCAACCATTGTGAACAAGTATTCTTTGAACATATTGTACAAGTATAATAACCTTTGGTAACACAGCCCGAAAGATTACCATATGCGGGAAATTCACTTACAGTCCAAAGTAATATTGCTCTTAGATTGAAGTATTCTTTCTTATAAGCATCAAATGTCTCAACGCCAGTTTCCCACAAGAGTTTTAGATATTCTATCAATGGTGCCAAGTAGACATCAATATTGTTACTAGGTTGGTTTGGCCCTGATATCAACAAAGTCATCTCATGATGTTTCTTGACAAACACAAATAATGGGGTAGATTATATGTTATTAGAATAACCGGCCAACAACTATGCTTGGAACTTAATGACTTGTGAGGATTGATACCATAAGAAGACAAGGTGTTGAATCAAGAAAGTGACCCTCTTGAACCTTAATCTGAATTTCTCCTCTCTACCGCAATGCTACTTTTGCGACCGCAACGAGAAACCATCCGCAACCTATTTATCTGGAACAAAGACTTAGTTTTTAACTTATGCTTCTACAATGTATTGTCCAGTGTGCCTTGCATGAACACTTCCTTTGAATTATAGTCTTTGTTTATTCTCTTTGTAATGTTCTCGAAACTCTATAAATAGAGTGTTTCGCCTCTAATGAAAAATATATCTCTTATCACATACATCTCTCTTATCTCTTACATCTCATTTTACTTCTCTCATTACTCTCTTATTCTCAAAGATCTTACAGAACTAAAATTCTTACCTTAAGATCGTAATCTCTCTTTTGGAGCAAGTCATTCTTGACTTAATCACTTTAAGCTAATCACACTTACTAACTTGGTTTGAATGCAATCCTTGTTAAGAATCAACTTAGTGTTTACTTGATATAATACTTATTGTCATTTATATTTCCTTACATTTTCGTCATTATATTTCCGCATCTAATTATCTAACTTTCTAACTCTAACTTCTTATTATTTTTGAGCTTTATGATCCTTTGAGTTAAACTTATTCCGCATTATAACTTGTTCTAACGTTTGTTCAAGTGTGTTTCTCAAAAGTTTTTCTCTCAACAATTGGTATCAGAGCCAAAGTGGTTTCTTTTTGAACAAAACTCTGATTTTGAAAAGCCTTCTATACCACTAAAGCTCATTTCTCTTAAAAAATATAAAAAATAAAAATTACAAAACAAGGAAATATGGCACAAGCATTATCTCTTAACATTTCCAACAACGTTGGAGGTTCGAATAGAGCTCCAATACTGGTGGCAAATGAGTATCATCACTGGTCCCAAAGCATGGAGAGATATCCAAGAAGACTTGGACGAGATGTGTGGAGATCTGTAGAAGAAGGACCTAATGTCCCTATTCTTACTCCAGTTCAAGCTGACGGTGCTCAAGCCAGACTTGGAGGAGGCCAACCAGCCATGAATCGTCCCACTAAGGATGATCACGATAAAATGGAAAATGATGCAATTGCCTTTTATGAAATATCATGCAGAGTTTCTCCTGACAACTTCAACATCATCATCAATTGCAAATCAGCCAAAGAGATCTGGGATGTTCTAAAAAACCTGTATGAAGGTTCTAAGCAGGCACAAGATAAGAAGCTCACCACCGCACTCAACGAGTTCAATAACTTCAAAGCTCATGCGGGTGAAAGACTTGAGGACTCCTTCAAAAGATTCAACCTCATTGTTACCAAGCTTTCAAATGATGGCACTGTCCGCAACAACAATGATACCAATCTTCAGTTTCTTAATGGTTTGGGGAAACACTGGACTGCCACAAAGATGATAGTCCAAGGTGACAGGAAGATTCACTCACTCTCTCTTTTCAAACTATACGGAGAACTCCAAGCACAAGAATCAACCAGACTCAAACATTGTGTTGACTTCGGAGGCCACTTGCTCTCATGGCCTAGACTCCGCAAAACATAACTCCTCAACCTTACTCTCTCTCCTATGAAAACCCACCGCAGTCTTACGAAGCTGACACTGAGTATGATGATGAAGAGGAATTCCATAATGCTATTTCTCTTGCTAGTCAGCAGTTCAATCGATTACCTCCCACCTCCTTTCGCAAAAATCAGCAGTTCACTAAGCCTCCCTTTAATCGAAACTTCAACCCTCAAAACAATCACCCACGATACCCAAAACACCCTCACCAATCTTCGCAACCTCTGAACTCTCATCAGGCCAAGGAGATTCCGCAACCTGTTAAACCAACTGACTCCGGTCCCTCGACCAAAGTTAAAGAAGATGTTGTCATTTGTCATAAGTGCAACAAAGAGAATCATTTTGCTAATGACTGTAAAGCAAATGTAGTGAAGGAAAAAGGCTTTTATCTCCGAATGGCACAGGAGATGGATGAAAAGGAAAAGGGAAGGGCATATGTGGCCCAGGTGAAAAGAGATCATCAAGTATGGTTAACAGGGGATGAGGATGAAGACTTCAACATCAAGGGCAAAGGTAAAATTTGCATGCTGGAAACTGCTGATGAAGATGGTTCGACAAAACTGGAAAAGAACTATTGCTTCATGGCCAAAGACGGAACTCTGAGCATAGTCGAACAGGTAAAACTTATGATTCAAACTCTTCATTATAACATGCATGATTGTCAACCATTTCTGGACAAACTTAATGATACTCGTGCTGCCGTC